TTTCTGGACATAAGGCACTTTCTGAGAACCTGGACATTCACTAAGTAACTCTGAGCATTACCTGCCAGGTGACCTCTTCTGGGTGTCCACTAAAACTTGAGTGGGGCCTGTCTGCTGAGAAGGAGTGGGGCCAAGAAAAGCAAAGTCCTGCAGGGCAGCTTAAGCCTTCCTACTTAGTGGATGCTGTCTCTCTCAGGTCCACACAGCTGGTCATTGGCACCCCCCCCCCCACCAAGGGATACCTGAGGTGCAAAGGAGTGAATCTAACATCATGTGCAGGGGGATCCACCTTCTCTTAGAAGCCTACACCCCACATGGACAATCCAGTTAAACGGTCACCATGTTCAGAGGAGCCCCTAGCATGAGCTTCCCATAAGAGTATGTGTAGATAAATATATAGTGCTGGCAAGAGCATCCTTATCTTAATCACTGTGGCCTGTAACAGCTGATGCTCTACCTTTGTCAGACCTCAAAAGGAACAGAACCAGAAAGGTATTTGTCTGTTTGGAAGGGGAAAGGTTTATCCAACTTACAATATAGAATATCACAAAAATTTCCAAACTTTTCAACTAAATTTGCCATTTAAGGGGAAGGAAATGGTATTTGTGTATCCAGGCAAAATACTATAAACAAGATCATTTACAAATACGAGAAATTTCTTCCTCACGGTTCTGGAGGTGCCAAGTGCTAGACCAGGTGAAGTCAGGTTCACTGGCTTGTTCATAGACGGTGCCCCTCCCTGTGTCTCACACAGGTGAAGGACTGAGCCAGCTCACTGGGGTTGCTTTCCTAAACTTGTCCCCAAAGGGCTCTACCTCCTCCACCTTTGCACCCCCACCTCTCTAGCCACTAGAGTGCTAGGTTGTGAGAGATGTGAAGATTGATTCAAGGGTCACTTAGCTCAGACTCCTCGAGGCAGAGTAGACAGGGCTGTGGCCTGCCTCATACATATCTCCCGTTTCATAGGGTAGCATGTTTGGAGGTACCTTATACTTATGGACTGAAATTTCAAGGTCAAAGGAGAGTTCTCAACTATCTCTCTTGCCCCAACATCAGTTCTTCTAGGAGTTTCTGAATTTGTAGAATTGGTTTCTGATCTTGCCTCCTGTTTGCAAGGTCTGCAGTTGTCCTCTTAATACCAGGAAGTGTCATTGATTTGGCTATAGAGCTGTAATACTCACAAGACAATTAGTAATTTTGTGTCTCCTTTTTGTATTTTATAGTGATGAAAGTGAACCCACGGAAACGTAAGCCTTTTTTTTAAAAAAAAACACATATCTATACATGTTATGGAGGAGGATTGTATAATCCTATCATGGCCTTTAAAGTTATCTTAATAACATCTTTATATTTCATAAAAATAATAGATACTTCTAGGTAAAAATAAAGTGTGACACCTCT